TGGATGAAGAATTTGGCCAAAATAATGAACAGATTAATAACAAATTTTTCATTGCTAGAGAAATGGGGCTTGTCAAAAATTAATAATATATCATATTCTTTAAGTACAATTTCCTTACCAATTTTTGAGATCAAAACAAAAGTCAGTCCAAAAATACTGTCACACGTGCACATTGAAAAAAAAAAGATGCTCTAAAGTTTCTAGCTCATTGTTGCAAAAGGAGCATTTTTCTTCTATGCTTGGAATGTATTTACAAATAATAGAGGTTACTGGGTAAATTTTATGTAAGATTTTAAAGGAAAGTTCTTTAGCTTTGTTGGACAAGACAAATTTGTAGGACAAAGTAAAAACAGAGTTCCATGTTCTTCCACCAAGAGTCTGGCATGGCCATTTATGTTTAACAGCTGTTGTTTCCATAAGAAATATTTATGAGGAGAATAGTTGTGCTTGTACAATAGAGACTAGCACATAAGGGCTGATTTATGCAAGTTGGAGAGTTTGACTGGGAGCTTGCCCACAGCGAAGGGACACATTAATAAGAAATTAAGACCACCAACCTTTTTAAATAGGAAATTTGGGATGATATTCTACATACTATCTGGATTTTCTAGAAATCTTTTGATCCAATTGATTTTTATAATATGGTTAAATGAAGCAAAATCTAAAACATTGAGCCCTCCCTCTGTAAGAGGTAAACACATAATTTCCTTTTTAACCTTGTGTGGTTTATTTTTCCAAATGAAATTAAAAAGAAGTCTGTCTAAGCAAGATGTCTTCTGTTTGGTGACATATAATCACGTTATAGGAAATCTTTCCTGCCTTACTCCATTAATTTGTACAACACATCATCTTGGAGCATTAGACGATTCCTGGATTGAGAGTAATTGTATACTGAATCAGCTTTGTATATATTTGCATATGTTTCATTCATCATGTGATTATGTATATGTACTTGATTGTGTTGGGTTTGTTTTTAACTTCTGCCATATTCCCCATTTGCTACAGCCTTCTTCCAGAACTTTTCAATTAGGTATGCAATATCTGTGATCAATTGTTCATTTTTTAAAAGAACATTCCAATAACCCACATTTTTCCTATTAATACAGAAAGTACTTACATTTAGTCTTAATTTAATTGCTCTATGATCTGTCATAATGGCAGGGGAAATTTTTCTACCTTATTTACATTAGGTTCTAGTTCTGATGAGATCAGCCAAAAATCAATTCTTGATTGTAATGTCAAGTTTTTGTTTGCCCATGAGAATTGTCTAATTGAAGCATTACGGGATCTCCATATGTCCAAGACATTCATTCTGTTACAAAACTGAATAAGTTTGTTTCCAGAATTTGATGTCCGTGGTGGGAAGCGGTCGTCTAAGTCTGACCAAACCATATTAAAGTCACCACCTATTATAATTTTGGGTTGGGGATATTTTTCTAAAAGTGAGTTCATTTGTTCCTCTAATTTGTCAAATAGCATGAGGTTCAATGAAGGAAGGTTATACCCATACACATTACCCAATACAAAGTGGTTCTCTGCTAACTGAATAACAAGCAAAAGCCAGTGGCCATTAGAATCACTCCTTGACTCAACTATTTTTCCTTTAAATCTGACTTTAAGGATAGCTACCCCTGCAGAATGATTTGTGCCATGTGAAAACCAAATTTCACTGCCCCATTGATTCTTGCAAAGTTTCAAGTCATCTGGACATGAATGACATTCCTGCAGAAACAACAGATCTGCTTTCACCTCTTTACAAAACAGAAAAAGAGCTTTTCTTTTTATTAAGTCTCGTAAACCTCTTGTATTAACTGAGAATAAGTTCAACTCCATCAGAATATACTGTATAACTACCTTTGAGAACATTAACCGAGGAGCGAACAACTCCATTAAATCTGTTAACCTGTGTAAATATGAGAACTATAAAAAGTTGTGGTTTGAAATCAATTGCTTGGAGACGTTCTAACACAGGTGTTACACGATCACCATCTTGGCCGATCTCCACCATGAAGCAATTGTATTGAACCAATGTGCTGAGGTGTGGTTTGGTCACGTGACTAGCGACGTTTGAAGCACTTGAGTGACGTTCAAAGCAGTTGGGTGCATCGGACTTTATTTGAATTAGCTGATTGGTTGGGTTTGTCATGTGACTCACTTTGCAGGATAGCGTGTGTTCTAGTGATGGGAAATTCGGATCATTTTACTGATTCGGTTCTTTGAATCTCATTCAGCAGAATGAACAAATTTTTTTTCAAGTCATTTCGTTAACTCCAGCAGAATGTAATTAAAATGTTACATGTTAATTCCCCTTCTAC